CGGGCTGGGGGGAGAAGCGGGCGCACGCGCACCCCTCGCCCTCTCGGGAGCTGTCTTCTCCTCCTGGCTTCACTCGCGCCCCTTCCGGCTCCCCCTTCCTCCTCTCACTCTCTCGCCGTAGCTCTGCCGCCACCTGGGCCTCACGTGACACGAGACTCTCCCGACACGTGACGCGAAACAGGCCGAGCTGGGGCGGGATCCGGTCGCTTCTCCTCTCCTTCCGGAAGCGTAACACTGAGCGCGCTTGCGCAATGGGCGCCAGGTCCGCTTTTTCGCTGTCCGGTCGTTACTGTGCTCTTTGTTCCGGAATAGGAGGGTCGGGTGCAGAGGCTCACTGGCCTTTCCTTTCCTCTCATAGCCTCCCCGCCTATGGACCCTAAAAGCCACCGCTGCTGCTGCGGAGCCAGACAGTTACTGTCTCAGCTCTAGGATGTGCGCTCTTCCACTAGAAGCTCTTCAAAGGGATCGAGGTAACCGCGGCTGGGGGTAAAGAAGTGCGCGTGCGTGTGAGAGGAGGGCGCCCCGGTCGACATCCCGCCTGCGCATGTGTGACAAGAGGGCGTTCCTAGATGCGGAGGTAAACCTGCCTTGCTGGTGTAAGGGGAGGTGGCGCTTTGGCCTCGGTATTGACATTTCAAGCCGCTCTCTCACCAACCGCTCGGACCCTGTGCGCTATCCTTACACAGGGATGCTTTGGGCAAGTAACTTATCTAGAGTTTAGTGTCCTCAACATACCAAAGGAGGGCCGGAGAGCCATTGATTTCTAAGTTCTTTTGTACATACAACCCTAGTTGATTGTAAACTAACAACAGTGTTTCAGATATTTGTCACGAAATCTTTCCCAGCAAGCTCTTTTTCTTCCTCCTGTGGAAGAGCTGCTACTGAGGAGAGAAATAGAAATCTGAGATTCTCTTCTAGCGCAAAGTTGCTCATAAGAATGGAAGTTAAAGAATCGCTTTTGTACAGAATTCTGCAATCCCAAAACCTTTGGCAGCACTTCTAACCTGGCTCTTGCTTTTTCTGTCTCTAGGGTACGCCTCCTATCAAATTTTGACTCTTTCATTTCCTTTCCCCATAGTTAGTCTTGTCCCTCAACTTCCTTGGTTTTAATATGGCCATAGCCAGACATCATTCTTTTTCTATTCTTCACAAATCGATGTATGGTATATGCTTAATCTGCCAGCAGACCGAGTTGTTCATGAATGTTTTCTTTTCTTTAAGGCAATTAAAAAACGGTAGAATGGAAGGCAAGTACTGTGGGCATCCTGTGTTATGCTCCTTGTCAACGATGTATACATTCCTGCTAGGGACCATATTCATTGCTTTGAGTTCAAGTCGCATCCTACTAGTAAAATATTCAGCCAATGAAGGTAAGTTAAGACTTGGAATATGTATGGAGCACTTTCATCTAATCACACATTATCTCTCCTGTCTTTGGTTTCCTTGTGTGTAGAAATGGGGATAATACTTTTAAAAGTACTCTGCTTCATATGAATTATAAAGCATTTTTAAATTTGGTTCTTTAAACTTTCAGTCCTTAATCAGAAATATTTTTGATGCTGAGTGAAATTTGGGTCAGTCAGGTTCAGGATAGAACCCTTTGCAGAGCGAATCATAACATCTGACTATTACTTCAGTCAGCAAGTGTTTCTGGGCCTATAGCAGTATGTATTATAACTTACTTTGAAATAGGCAGGAGATGTATTTGTTTGGTCACCTGGTATTTGTGACCTACTATTTTAATTATGGTATCAATGGAACAGTACTGATTATTCGCTTTGATATATACATACTCAAGAAATATTTTCTTATTCTTAATGTAAGAATTTGTATTTAAATAGTTTAATTCCACAAAACTGTATTGAGAACTTACCACTAGTTTTTGAGAACACATAAAATCATGACATCATAACCATTAATGGTCCGCTTGGGGAATCAGATGTGTATATAAGTCTTTTTTTCAGTAAATGTTTCTCTGCCAGACATTAGGCTAAATATTAGAGCAGGGCTCAAAGTGCATAAGACATAGAGCTTGTTCTCAAGAATTCAGTTTATTAGAAGAGAAATACATGTAAATACATCATGAAAACACAGTATAAGAAATGCAGTTCTGTACCAAAGATGCAGAGATAGTTTAAAGTAGAAATTGATATATATTGTGTCTGGGAGAATATGGTATGGAGTGCTAAGACATTGGGGAACAGTTCCCTGATAGGGTGACAGTTAATCCACAAGAAGACAAGGTGGGCAGGTATATTCAAAACAGAAGCAGCAGCCTATAAAAATGAACAGCTTCATTAAAAAGCAGGATGGATTGTGAAAACATGTAGTTCAGAATTAGTGAACAAAAAGTTTAAGGACTTAGAGGAGAGAGGGAGACATGCTTGGCCAGGGAGGAAAGTTATCAGATTGTTGAGGACCTCATATGCCATGCTAATGAGCTGGGACTTTATTCTTGAGGCCCTAGAATTTAGGGGACAAGGAATACTTAAAGAACTATGAACAGGAGGGTAAAATGAGAACGACTATTATGGTCACTGGATGGAGAGTGGACTAAAGGGGAAGAGACTGGAAGCAGGGTAGCCAGTTAGAGGGTCATTGCAAGTTCAAGACACAGATGATGAAAACTAGTCAAAGCTTTTGAGGTATGAATAAAGAAGAGAGGATAGATTCAAGAAGTATTCTAAACATAGAAAAGATAGGACTTGGAGAATATATCGAATGGGGAGATTAAAGCGTTGGATAGCTCAGAAGGTCTCTGGTCTGAATACTTAGTGGATTGATGATGTTCTTAGCTGAGATGGAGACTGAGGAGGAAGAGAAGGTAGGACAGAGTTCAGAGAGGTTAAGTAGTTTTAACTCTGTATCTTCCGTGAGGCTGGCAGCTATGTCCTTCATATCACACATGTGAATCAAATGCCAGTTAAATGAATAAGTAGGAGGTAGTTATTCATATGAATATGTTTAGCTAGCATTAAATGTTCCAGAATATAGATTTGGAAACATTAATATTAAATTGACATTTAAAACCCGGAGAGCGGAGGAATCATTCAGGGTAAGCACTAAGAATGAGAAAACAAGAAAGAGCCAAGGACAGAACTCCAAGGACTGCCAACATTTAACAGGCCTCCTGACATTCAGAAGGACATTAAGAAGAGATTAGATAAGAGAACTAAAGGAGGTGGGAAGGGATAAAGTGGGAGTTTGGAATATGCACCTCTTGGGGTGTGTGGTTTCATAGCTATATACATCTATCAAATTGTGCATCTGAAGTATGTGTAGTTTACTATACAGAAATTAAACCACAATAAAATTATTTTAAAAAAGAGAATTAGTTGTACTTGACTTGTAGAAGGGAAGGAATGAGTTTGAAGACTGGGAGGGAATTGCAACATGAGAATTAAAACATGCCCTTTGGAATTAGTGATTAGGAGATACTTGCTAATCTCAGGGACTAGGTGGTTTGAGTACAGTGGTGGGACCAGAAACCAGATTGCTTGGGGAACAAGACCTGAGTAGAAGGTGGGTAAAATGGAGATAAGGAATGTTGACACTGTTTTATGGAGATAAGGAGGAAGTATGGCAGCTGGAGAGTTAGGAGCTTGTGTTTTATTTTTGGTTGGGAGAGCTTTGAGCATATGTATAGGCGAAGGGGAGAAAGCCAGGTAATAGAAAGATAAAGGAGATATACTGAAGCCAGAGGAAATACTGGAGGAAAGTCCCCCAAGAGAAGGGACAGTTTTAAAGGGGAGAATGACTGAATATTGGGGCCAGGACTCCTCTGTCTGGGACTGAAGGGAAACCACTAAGGATGGGTGTGATGTAGATAAAGTCGTGAGTGTGAGCAGAAGGTGAGTGGAGGGAGGTCACACAAGATGCCATGACACAGTTTGGAATCAACCATGAGAGAAATGCAGGGGAAAAAACAAAAACAATGAAAAGCAAGAATAAGTTAAAGAGCAGGGGCAAGAGTTTGAAAGTTGTGATCTGAAGCCCCTCATTTTTGTGTGTGCATGTTCACACGTGTGTATCATGCTAGAAAGTAAGGAGTATGATTTCAGTCTAACTTGGAGCTCAGAACTAGGCATCGAGTGATAAAGTATAGGAAGTATAGGAAGATGACTAACATGATCCTTCTCATATTCCTTACATTTTAAGGGTAAGACAACATAAAAAATGACTGTAATACAATGTTACAGGTACTGTTTTAGAGATTTGTACTACTGTTACCTGAAAACTGAGTTCGCCCCTTGGTGGGTGTCAAGCCAGAAGATAACAACCAAACCTAAGATTGGGAGAAGGATTTATTATTTGGAGCAAGTAAGGAAAACACTGAGAATTTTCCCCCAAGCAGTGTCTCCCCTAACAGCAAAACTGGGGAAATTGTAAGCTATAGGTACATGCATATTTATGAAGGGGCTTGAGCAGAAGAGAATTCAACATAAAATTGGACAAAGGTCTACAGAGTCCAGGCTTTAGTTGAAGTCTTGGGGGTCAAAAGGTCAATATCATCATCCCTTAGGTTCCAGTTGATCTGGTGGTTGAGCACTTAAGACTCATCTTTTCCACTGAAATAGCCCTGGGAGTCTTTACAACGAATATATTATCTTTACTGTCGTTAATTCTCTTGCCTGAGAAGTCATTTTGTCCTGCAGTCTTTTGTTCCCTTAAGATCATTAATTACTGAGCATTGTGGCCAGGCTGAGATCACAAAAAGACTTAGGCCAAAACTGACTTTTCTTGTGCCAAGAAAACCATGCCTGGTTCTCTTTCTCTGGGGACCCCCAGAGATCCCTGCAGAATCAGAGATGAATAAGGAATTGGTTATACATAGGTTGAGAAGGTCAGGGAAAACCACAGAAAAGAGAAAGAAAGGGAGTTCTGGAGAGGAAGAATGTCCAATTGGCATTTTCCTCTGTACTTGGCCAGTTTTGGTTTTTCACTTGATGACCAAGGAAAACAAGCAAATATTTTTGAAAGGGTAAAAAATGCATTCCTCCCAAAAGTACCTAATACAGTTTCTGATTGTCCTTGGCAAAATGATAGAGCAAGTTGTTTATAAGCATTTAGAAAAGACAGAAGTAACAGCTAGCTGAGATCAAGGTGTACTAACCCAATTTCATTTCCTAATTAGATTGACTTGTAAGTTGGCACTTCACTTTGTGACTCATCAGTGGGTTTGGATGTGTCAGTGTGTGTGTCCTTCCTGGAGCCCTGGGCCAGTTGCCTCTTGCCTCAAG